GAGAGAGAGAGAGAGAGATTTGCGGCGTGTGTGGCCTGTCAAGACAGGTCAAAATCAGGGTGGCGTTGAAGACCGCTGTGCGAGAAGACCGTCTCCCAATAGAAATTTTTACCTCTGAACCGATCCCGGAAACTTGACACACATACACTTCGAGGCGGGCAGGTGTCATAGGCTACCTTTCGTCATTGGTCGATATCGATTTTATGGACTTGCAAAGTTAAGCTGTGGGGCTGGGAGTTGGTACAGGGGGTAAGTGAGCATGCTGATCACGAATACAAAATCAGTTTTTGGAGTTATCTGTATCTTTTACCAAATTTATCGATTTTCCCACAAAGTTGATGTCCGGAGCCGGGAGTCAAAGGGGGTAAGTGAGGGGTATACGGGTCCGAATCAAATACAAATTCGACCATTCGGATAAAATATACGAATACTTTCGCATTCGAAATTCGATATTGAAGTTTTTTCATTTTCAAACAAAATTCAAAACTCGAGTGGTCAAAAAACGGGGCTTCGAATAAGTTTTATTCGAATGTTTTATTCGAATTCATGTTCGAATGAACTCCGTAATTAGATTATTCGCGTTTGTAGCTAACTGCTGAGTACCAAGCTCGCTTCGTCTGTATTTTTTTTCGCAAAATTCGGCAATGCATCTCTTTGCAACCATGATCCTTTGAACTGTATGGAAAGTCGCGTTTTTCCGACTGCTTGCGACAATAAAAAATAAGTGTGGACTTTAATTTATGCTTTTTCGACCAGTGAGAGAGTTTGCACTGCTATTTTCACCAAATCAGCAAAAAAGCTATCAACTGCAAGCTCATGTTCCGAGTTCATATACTGGGAATGTGATGACATGCCTGTTTCTCTTTCTTTGCATTGCTCATGCTTAAGATACGCAAAGATCCACACTAGTGAACACTCTTGCTTGTAAAATCATGCTGCACAACTGCACGATTGCCTCTATTCTTTACTTATTGTTAGAGAAATTTGTGTATTTTGAGTAGAGGACATCGCAGCTGTTGTGAAGGATTAGACGGTCGCTGAAATTTGCAGTCATATCACCTTGCAATGAAGTTTTGTTCAGTAGATAGTGCATGATAGTTCAGTTATCACAGTGCATCTAAGATTTTCACGGAGTCTTGCAGGCACTTTAACACGGGAGCTATCAGCCTATCAACTATGGTAGAGGCTAAAGCCGGACGAAGGTCTACATTGAGAAATGCGAGCTTTGTTATGACAGGCTCCGCACATACTTCACGCGATAGTCGTACGCGATTTGCCAGTTACAAGATGCTAACTACGGGGTGGGGGTTGGTACAGAGAGTAAATGAGGGTGCTGATTATGGATAAACATTTACTTTCTTGCTTCATCGGTTTTTGGAAAACATTGAGCTACGAGGCTGGAAGTTAGTACAGGGTGTAAATGAGGGGTGTATGTCGAAAGGCGCGCGTTCCCTCAGCCTTCATTTCCAGACTGGGTCAGTTCTCTGCAAAAGCAAGGTTTCCAGATTGCAAGATTTTTGTCAGTACATCAGAAAGTATAAAGAAGGATAACCAGTTGAAATCCGATAGTATTAAAATAAATTTGAACTTATTTCTTGCTTCTCTCAGTTAGTAAAAACCGATCAATGCGCGCCTTACGACCGTCTCCCGTAGATGAGGGTGCTGATCAAAAATTGAATTTTTTTCTGATGATCAAAAGTAAAATCTATTTTAGCGATTTTACCGATTTTTGGAAAATCTGAGGGTACTGATTATGAATGGATCGGCTTTGACCGAATATCAGCAAGTTTTAGATCTGGTTGCCTTATTTATCCGACAAAACATTCGAATATATAATCGATATTCATTCATTCCATACTTCTGATTTTCCGATTTCATTCGGGATTCATTCATTCGAGATTTTTTATTTTCGAATTTATTCGATATTCGTTTATGCGAAATTTTTCATTTTCGAATTTATTCGATATTCATTCAGTCGATGAAAAATTTCGGATTTACCCAAGTATAGTGAGGAGGCGTGCTGATTAAAACAAAACGGCGATAGGGAATTGGCAAGTAGAAGCGGCCACAAGGAAAGGTTTGCACAGGAAAAGGGATAGTGACCTTAAACACAGTGTTTCGACAGGGCCGGGCGGAGCCGGGTATGCCAGCTAGTTTTTAACTAAGGCCCGTATGCACGTACGTCCCCGCTGGGGAGGGGAGGGGAGCTGGATCCCCAGGGGAACGATCCCCTCCGCCGAACCCCGCCATGACAGAGGGGAGGGGAGCGATCCCCTCCCCTGCACCTAGGCGGGGATGGTGTGAATGATTTCAGAGGTATTGATCGAGCGAACCCCAGTGCATACGGGGTTCGAATGGGGGAGGGGATCCCTTCCCTTCCCCACTCGAACCCCGTATGCGCGAATTCAACTCAATAACGCGGGGGAGGGGATCGACATCCCCTGCAACGAAGTAGGGGTTCGATGGTGTAGATCATGCCAGAGACGCGGATATTCTGGTTCTGCTCAGTTATTACCAAGCATTTCGTTCATTTCGATGGAGGATTTTCTTTGAAAGCCGGGTTCTTCTCTCAGCGACCTATGGCTTGCAATTTGTCTTTCTTTTCTATATTCGCCTCTTGAGAAGAAATCCGAGCAACAATAGCTGCCAATTTCGATTATTTGTAGGAGTTTTGATCATTCAGGAAATTTGCGCATTTTTCATATAACATAATAGTTTTAACTATATAGGCTGAATAAACACACTGTAACTTTCATATTTCATAACATGTTGCCATTATCTTGTTATTTTAACATAAGCTGCCTCGAAAAAATCTAAAAAGTAGCATATTTGCCTATTTCTGAGTAGAAATCCCCTGGGGAGTGATCCCCTCCCCAGCGTTCCCCTTGTGCATAGCAGGGATGGCTGCTGGGGATCATTCCCCTGGGATAAACGACGATATGCAGCTGATAGTTACAGCGTTTATGGAGAGCTGGCAGAATTTGCAGCTTCTGTTATGTGTTAGAATACTGCTTTGAGCGTCCGCGCGACACCCCCCCCCCCCTTTTCGGCAGCATAACGTCTTCTACCCATTCCCTTGCAGAGACACATCAACTTCTATAGTTCAACATTTTGACCCTGAAATGGAGCAGCATGAACGAAAGTGGGCAGCATCCAAGAAAGCAGGAACATAATGGGAGTAGAAAAAATCATTTTTAGCGCCCCGAGCGCAGTCACTGCATACGCACATTCCGCAACCCTAAATTAATTGAAGTGAGGAGATGAAGATGAGTTGCAGTCAAAATATGAAATAAGAAAGAGTTTTTCATAGAAAATTTGAAAGCAAGGTGATTTCCCCGCTTGATCCCCTCTTGTGCATAAGAGGGTTCACTGCCCCTCCCCACAGGGGATCCCTTGTACGATATTGTCTTTGTGCATACGGGGGTTCGCGCGGGGAGTGGAGGGGATCCCCAGCGGGGATCATTTCAATGGTTAAGCGCACATCCCCTCCCCGCGGGGATGTACGTGCATACGGGCCTAAATTAACGTCATGGAAGAGATGAAGTTTGTGATTGACACGACTCATTTCGGCTGCTCATGCCTCTAGCTCAATGTTTGCAAAAATTCGACGAAATTGATAAATGCAAACGATTATTCCGAAAACTGATATAATCGTAACATCATGCTCAGTACCCGCCTGTGCCATCCCACTTGCCAGCCCGCAGTTTGCAAAAATGGTTAAAATAAATTCACAAAGATAACGTCAAGTAGCACAGACATTCGCCCTAAGAAGTGCATGTGCACCATATTCGCCGAACACTTCAAATCTACAACGGCGAGGTTTTCGGCAAAGAAAACTCAAATTAACTTCTAATGTTAATGTACATTATGTCTACTTGTAGAATTTGAAGGAATGATACAACTTTTTTGAAAATATTTGCAGAATATTTGCGAATACAGTTGAAGGTATTTTGAAAGAGTTTGATGAAGTCGTTCGTCTCTTAGCCATGAGGAAAATAGTCTGAAATGAGGGCAAAAATGCAAAAGAGGGAAATGATGTAAGCATGCCGCCTCAAAATTTCTTTGTATGCGTGGCCATAAGAAAAGCTGATGCTTGGACAATTTCACTTTTTGCGTAATTACAGGTTTCTATACTTTTTTTCAGTTTAAGATAAAGTAAAGATTCAAACTAGTGCTTTGGCCTGATACTTCTGCAGGCGCCAAAGTCGGGTCAGGGTGCGGCACGAGGGTGGCAAGTGGACAGCTGTGAAACGAACTCGCCTTTGCCACTATCGATTTTACGATCTCCCATTTGATGGCCAGCTGTTGGCTTGTTCACTTAGAGCGCGCTTTTTTCCTCAAGAAGATCGACATAGTTGCTATTTCAGATCCTAACAAGGTGGAGAGAAGGAGTTTTGAAATCGAAATGTTGTTATATAGAAATTTTTGGATGCGGAACAAATTTATGTAAAGTTGGAAAAGTTGTGTAACTGAACGTACTGCCTCCGTCAGGATGCATCAAGGGAGCATATGCCCACGTAATTAGGAAAAAAAGTTAAGCATTGACATAGCGTATACACACCAAATCCTGTGCCATGTCGTCATTTGTGCTTGCAAACGAGTTATTTTTTCGTTTTTTGATCGTGGAGAAATTACAGAAATATTTCCACAACTTCCAGTCGCATAATTTTTCCACAATGCTCTGCGTTATGCTCTTCCTAGCCCTTGTCCGTTTATAATTCAAATTCGAATTATATCGTTATGTGTGTGCTGTAAACGATGCAGTTAAAAATACCCAGTGGAAAGTAATTTGGGTTTTTGAAGGTGTTACAGGAACAAGACCTGTTCTTGTCAATCGGATAGCAAATCGATAGAGTGTATGCACATATCAATATATATTCATGATATCCCCTTTGCTTTTTTCCTCAAAACGGTTTCCAGCTTGTATTTGTCACCCTCGTGCCGAGGTTTGGTCAGTTCACCAAAATCCGGGCCCCTTCATTGAAAAATTTTGTTTTTAGTGATCACCCGTTTCGGAATGCACTGCTTGGAGGAGCTGTAGGTGCAGCTGGTGGTATGTCTATCGATAAGCTTGGTATAAGCGCAAACGGTCAAAGCTTTTAAGGTATCCTAGCGTTTGAGGCTGGAAAATCGCTTCTGCACACAAACAACGGGGTTGCTGCTCATACTTCACACAATCGTGATAGAAGACATTGTTCCACGCTAATGAAGGACCATGGACAGGTGAGGCAACTGAATAATTCCGATGTAGTTGTCGCTTTGCGCCTTATCGTTGCTTTGGTGTTGAGCACAATCGCACGCGTTATGTGGTCTGGGTCTGCCCTATGAATTCGTACTGCTGCGGAAATGATTGCTGCCCTACGACAGATTCTAAAGTCACTGATGAAGATACCAAACGGCTAGCTGTAGTTCTAGGGTAGGATGCAAACATTTACCGCATATTTGATGCTGGCAAAATCAGCACTATTATCATTAATATTTCAGGATCATACTTGTAACTATTCTAGCCATGTTCGTCATTTATTGCTGGTACAGTAGCAAACAACAGGAAATTATAGTGCTCGATGGTCAGTCCTTTCATATTGGTTCAGGTATTCGCGGTATTCACGCTTGGTGAGCTTGCAGAATTATATTGTATCTATGTTATTGAAAAATGTATTATATGTGCACTTCACCGGCAACCACGGGCTGAGTTCCTGTCTTCCGTCGCATTCTTTGCTAAAATTTAGATCTATACATTTGAAACAACCTACCTGGGGCACTTTCCCTTACCAGCGCTTTCTTGGAGGCGAACAGTTTCTGGAGATTTCTGATGGTCGTGCTGAAATCCAAACCGTGTGGTTCTGAAAGAGCTGATCCGCATACTTTCAACATGCTTCGTTTGGCTTCATGAAAATCAGATCACGCTTCTTGTTATCTGACAAAAAACCTCGCTTGTGATTGGCGCATACCTGCTATATCAGTAGGCGGAGGCACTACCTGTATCTTTCACCGAGACGAACTTCTGCCCTCCTTGCCTGGCTGGTGGAATGATCTGTACTGACATTGTGGATGGCTACACTCTGGTTGTTGGCCAGGGTAGCAATCAGCATCCTATTTTGTTCCTGTTGATTTATCCGAATCACTTCTCCCTAAGCCGCACTTGCTCCACCTTGATTTTGATTTTGTGGTTCAGTATATTGACAAGACCGAGGCCAAACAACCAAACCGAAATTCTCTCTGTTGCGCTACCAAGATCGGCACCTAAAGCTTGCGCAATTTAACCCTTGTCTTTTCCAAATAAATAATTACAATAAGCGAGTGAACAACAAATAAATGATCACACAAAGTAAGTTGCAACTAGTTTTACTCATTACTTAACAAGTAGACAAAATGATAAAATTTATAAATATCTTATATATAAAGCTGAATGTCTGTTTGTATGTATGTCTGTATGTCTGTATGTACGTAGGTTTTCCAAGTAGAAAATTCCATTTCTAAACCGATCCGGACCAAACTTGGCACACATACACTTCGGAAGAAGGCGGGTGTCGTAGGCCACTTTCTGTCATCGATCGATATCGATTTTACCGATTTTTATCGATTTTTTGCAGAGTTCACCTACGGGGCTGGGAGTTGGCACAGGGGGGTAACCGAGCATGTTGATTACGAATACAATATTAGTTTTTGGAATTGTACATTACTTTCATCGATTTTATCGGTTTTTTGCAAAGTTTGAGCTACGGGGCTGGTAGTTGACATAGGGGTGTAAGTGAGCATGCTGATTACTAACACAGGGGGAATAGGGAATTGCATGTAGAAGTGGGCACAGGGAAAGGTTGTACAAGGAAGGGAATGGAACTTTACTAAAGTGTTTTCACAGGGCCGGGCGGAGCCGGGTAAGCCAGCTAGTCCTACTATAATAACGCGCTAAGGGTGTTTACGTTTTTTTGTGTGTGTGTGTGTCTGAATGTCTGTCTGTCACGAAATTCATAGCGCGAGTTCCAGCCAACGTCCTGAGCCCAAATCTTGCATAGCGCATGCTACCAGTATAAAAGTCCACCATGCGAAAGCACGAGCGGATTTGTTAAGTGGATCCCTCAGAAATTGCGCGTCAGCCGGGTCCAATTGGCTTTCGGCCCGCATATCGAATCCATATCACCACTTTTTGCAAAGTCGTGGATGTGCTTAGCATCTCAATGTGCAAGCCATGGGCTTTGCTCCAAAAAAGGGATCAAAAGTCTACTACTTTACAAAAACAACGCCGAAAAGTATTGATTGCTCGATGGTCGATTTGCCAAGGTTTTACTTGAGCATTTGAGAAGATTTTTGCACAGAGATGTGGCTCAGAATGTTATTGTCCTTATAGCAAGTACCTAGCCAGAAAAAAGTTCAAGAACCTATTCAAATTTGCATTTGTTCTTCTGCGAAAAATTTCATCCTCTCAAAATTACCGTTCTCACATGGAAAAGCTTTTGGAATGAGTAGTTGTTTACATTTTATTCGTGATATTCGGCATCGTCCGGTGAGTTTCAATGCCATCACAAGGCATGAATGAGTAAGGCGTACAGAGTAGGACACAGCGAGCCTCTGCGAATCAGTGTATTTCAAAGCGCAAGCTGCAGCCAATATTTCGAGCTGATTTTTTGGCTATAGCACGCCAGCAGCACCCCAGGTTGATTATGTAAAGAAGTGAGCGAATCTGTTTCGGTTAAAAATCGCGAGTCAAACGGATCCACCAGGCATTTGCTAAGGCAAAAATGAGATCCTAATGCAAGGGGTCTGCAGTAACTGTAAGACTTTTAACTTAGACATCTTCTAAGTCCTGGAATTCATCGCAGATACATAGCAAAAAGTTAATTTCGTGCAAAAGTGGCGTCAAAAAGAGATGACTCAACTGTTCTTTTCAAAACACTCACTGTATAGCTGGAAATATTCTAGGCTGGGAATCTAGCGTGCATCTGTTGTTGTTCTAATTAGCCAACATCGCATTGATAGAACGGATTCAAAATTACCTAACCGTTCACCAAAAAGTTTCGCCACGCTAATTTTAACGGTTTCACATGAAAACCTCGCAGAATGAATGGTTGTTTACATCATATTCTTCCCGATCAGAATTTTTCGGGGAGGTTCAAAGCAATTTGAGAGATGAGGCAGGGCGCTGTTTAGCTCTGAGGACAAGCATGGACTCGCAGACCCGCACGGCACCATATTCATGGGGTGCATAGAGGCACTACCTGCTGTGGACGTATCACACTTTGCCTTTCTTAAGAGGAGATATTGCTCAAAAACTATAGAGTAGGACCAGTGCGATCCTCTGCGAAGCATCATCATCCACTTTCATACTTTCACCACTTTTTGCAGAGTCGTGGATGTGCTTAGCATCTCAGTGTGCAAGGCATGGGCTTTGCTCCGAAAAAGGGATCAAAAGTCTACTACTTTACAAAAACTACGCCGAAAAGTATTGATTGCTCGATGGTCAATTTTTCAAGATTTTACCTGATTATTTGAGAAGATTTTCGCACAGAGGTGTAGCCCACTATGTTTATTGTCCTTACGGCGACTACCAATCCATAAAAATTCCGAAAGCCTACTCGAATTTGCATCTGTTCTTCTAAGAAAGATTTTATCCATGCGAAAATACCGACCTCACATGGAAAACCTCTACGAATGAGTAGTTGTTTACGAATTATTCGTGATAGCCTAAGCCTACATAGCGCGGTGAGTTTCAATGTCATTATTATGCGGGAATGAGTAACGCATACAGAAAATAGGGCCAGTGCGAGCCTCTGCGAAGCAGAGGTGACGCACTGGTATATAATAAAGCGCTAAGGTCTGTTGTGTGTGTGTGTGTCTGTCTGTCTGTCTGTCTGTCTGTCTGTCTGTCACGAAATTCATAGAGGGAGCAGCAGCTCATTTTTGCATAACATACCGCACTATAGCCACGTCGAAAGCTTTACGGACCACCCACAGAGCGCTCGAGCGCAGTTCTATGAAGATGACCCGACGCAAGCAACATCTAGTCGGACTTCGCAGCACGGATATGAGAAGAATGTCCCGTCTTCGTGACCCAGCGGAATACGTTGCGAAAGCCAAACATCGATGGGCCGGTCACATAATGAGAAGAACAGACGACAGATGGACACTAAGAACATCTGAGTGGATTCCTCGCGAAGCCAAACGTCCTCGAGGAAGACCACCGACGAGATGGGCAGACGTGTTCGTGGAACGGATGGACCAGCTGAGAAATCAGCTGGATACGACTTTCGCCCCTAAAACTCGTGGACACAGCCATCGACGACGGCCAAGAAGATCGTGGATGTCTGAAGCGAGGGACAGGGAAAAATGGCAACTTCTGTACTGGGGCCCGCACGTCACGTGAGGACAGGCCATCTAAGTATCTAAGTAAGTATACCGCACCAGTAAGTAGGTCCACCATGCACAAGGACGAGCCGGTTCGATAAGCGAGTCCTTTAAAATTTGCGCCTTAAACGGGTCCACACGGCTTTTGGCAAGCAAAACTAGGTCGCTAATTCGACTTTTTGCAGAGTCATTATTTGCCTGCCAAGTAAATCTGCGCCCCATGAATTCTAGCGCAAAAAGTGTTCAAAAAGTTTGCTTTTTTGCGAAAACGCGCCAAACGCCTGCTTAGGAAGTCGATTTGGCAGGGTTTTTACCTTGAAATTTGAAAGGATTTTTACGCGGAAATATAGCTCAAAGTGACTATTATCCTTACGACGACTACCAAGCCAAAGCAAATTCAGTAATCCATCTTTCCTTCTTTCTATTCCTTCGCAAAAAAGTTTTCCTTCTCAAATTACCGATCTCACATGGAGATGCTTCAAGAATGAGCAGTTGTTTACGATTCATTTGTGATGTTCAGCATCGCGTGGTGAGTTTCAAAATCAACATTATGCCAACATAAGAAAGACATATGGATAGGAAAGCCAGTGCGAACCTCCGCGAAACGAAGGTGACGCACTGGTAAATATATAAAACTCAGAGTTTGTGAGTGTTTCCGCGAACTATGTGTCGAATAGAAATTTTTGTGAGTGGACCAAAAAGCGCCAAACTTTGTACACATATGTTTTCAACTCCTGCGCATATTATAGCTACCTTTTGCGGCAAATCGCTCAGTCGTTCTATTGATCTATTGATTTTTAGCACTTTGCAGTGAAAATGAACACTTATCAACTGTTATCAAAGTGCTTGCACATTTGGATGTAAACGATGCAGTAAAGTTCATTTTCATTTTGAATTGAAGAAGATGCAGGTTTTCGACACAATCGTTTTGAGGTAAGCTCATGCAGGAGGGTAAGGGGGGGAGGAAGCTTTCACTGCAGTAGTACCGAGACAAAAGGTGCAGGGGGACATGGCTGAATCGAACGAAAGAGACGGGAACACGTCGTCAAAGTGTTTTGGCCATTCTCTTGAAGATTGACCTAGGTTGGACCGGGGAAGCAGCTGGTACTAAAAAAAACTTGCAAATGACAAATCATACGTTGTTGTCATTCTGGCGCTTTGATACGGCGGGTATGGCCCTGCAGGCATTTGAACACGTTGAAAAGATTGTCAAATTTTCACTTCGAAGCATTAGTTTTTGTATCCTCTAGCTATCGGGGACTGCCACGCGCATACTTTGGCAAACGTCGGCAAAGCTCCGCCCTCTATATTGCGAGCACCGGCGCCGGCCCTCATATACGGATCAGCACGAGCCGCCGTCCGCGTCGCGGTGCTCGCTCACCATTGAGGCGCGTTTTTGCCCGGAGTAGCGAACGTGCACAAACCGTTGACACTACTATGCAAATAACCATGGCTTACAACAATTACTAATCATGTTAAAATCACCCAGCACGCCATATTTGCTTGAAGGATAAGAAAATGAATGTCATCTTAAACTAAAGAAACTACACATGTTTTAACAAAAAAACCCATAGCTTCAATCAACGTATCAACATTACAACATGAAACTGAAGTCTGAAATTCCATACATTTGTTTTGGGGGACACAATAGAACTTGCAATCGTGCTGTGTAAGGCAGACTTAAACAGCTGCACTGTAACCCCGGGATCCCCAGGGGATCACACAAAATGGCAAAAACCAATCTTTTGTGACAGTAACCTGACACCCGTTATGCGCAGGTATAAAGGTATGAGAACCTTCCTAAGCAAGATGGGGAAGGAAGAAGAAAGATATCTAGAGTAGCGAGATATGACGCATCCCTCTTAGATTTCCTCCCCTCAACGGGATGTACCTGCATACGGGCCTTAAACTCTGTCACCAAAAAACAGACTTTGCTTCAGTCAATGTTTTGCCACAAAACTGAGGTGTCAAGGCGACAGATTTTTATGGAGTCTGGATTCTATCCGGAAATCCGAAAATGAACAGAAAAGAAGAGTGCATTGTCATAATCAAGATCGCGCCTTCATTGGACTTATACAAAATCTGCGCATAGACTCTAGAAACTGCAATGTTCATTGTCAAACGCAAGGGTGGCTTTATGAGCCAATTTTGGGCCGTAGAAGAGTCTGTCATTTCTGAGACTTTCCTGCTAGTAATTGGGTGTTTGAGAAGTTAATTCGCGGTATCCTTTACTTCATGGTTATTGGTAATGGCGCTAAGTTGACACGTTAGTCGAACAAATGCGATAATAACTTAGGTGTGGCTAAACCAACCAAAATGATCCAATCAACCTAGTTACTAGCAGTTTTAATACATGGTAATCAGCTTGCTCAACTTACAAGGGAAGTTCACTTATTCGAAGTGGCGATTTGGAAGGAGATCTATACCAGTGGATAGAGCTCAAAAAGCTGATCTCAGATATGCCTTCTATATCTGCGATGCGTCGTTCTGAAAAAAGTGTGAGCTTTTCTAAAGTCAAATTTTCGTGCATTTTGAGTCGCAAAATCATGATAATCGCTACAAAAAGTGTGCAACTTAAGCAAACTACCTAATAGGCATTTTAGGTCTATTTCGAGTTCATCCGAACGCTTTCGAGCGTTTTTCCATCATCTTGTTCATCCACAAGTAGTCATTTCATTCCTAGATCACACTTCCATTATGTATAAAAAAAGCCCCATAACCTCCATCTAGAAAAACGCGTCGCGTCGGAAACATTCTGAAAACTACCAGTGGATAGAACGTAAAACAACGTTCTCAAATATATTTTCAATATCTGCGATGCGTTCTTCTAGATGGAGGTTATGGGTTTTTTAATATATATAACTAGATGGCAAACCCGGCTCCGCCCGGGCCTGTCAATAATATATTTGTAATCAGCATGCTCGATTACCCCCCTGTGCCAACTCCCAGCCCTGTAGCTCAAATTTTGCAAAAAATCGATAAAATCGATATCGATCGATAACGAAAAGTAGCCTATGACACGCTCCCTGCCCCGAAGTATATGTGTGCCAAGTTTGGTCCGAATCGGTTCAGAAATAAAAATTTCTATTCCGCACATACGTACAGACAGACAGACAGACAGACATACAGACAGACAGACATTCAGCTTTATATATAAGATGGGAGTGTGATATAGGAAGGAAGTACGGCCTGTGAATAAACACCAATAAACACCGATTTGATACTTTTCAATTCAGATCCCTCGAGATACACGGTCAGCCACTGCTCTGAACATCCGAAAGACGATTTCTACAAAGCAAGTGATGGAATTTATCGTAGCAGCCATGTAGGAGCGCCATTTCCGCACAACGGCTACAACTCGCAAGATCCCAACTATTACCTGCCCGGATATCCACCACCTTATCCGCCAGCATACCCACAATGTTATCCGTATCAAAGCCCCACGTGCAGGACAGCTCCACAGATTCCAACGGTGCATAACCAGCAGCAAGAGAATCCTATCAAACCTGCTCAAGCTTAATTTCAGAATGACTTTCAATTGATATTTTCAATACTTTTGAATTGTCGCGCGACAAAGTTCTGGATTATAAAAAGGTAGCTGATATACCTGATTCCACTGGGTCTTGTCCAGACACTTGATATAAAAGGGCCTACCCTACTTTGATTGGCACTTCCCTGTCCCACGTGACTGTTCTCTGGCACACGTACTGCTGAGCAGTTTTCCGTCAAAATACCCATCTCGATCGCTATTGTCGAATTATGTCGAATCTGGAAGGGAAAAAGAATAAAATAGATAAAATGAAGCTGGTCTACGCTACCTGAACGCAAAAATGCTCGGCTGGATCGGCGCTGTCCGTAAGAACGCTCTAAGCTCTATCCAACGTTCACGGGGGAGAGGACGATACCTTATGGTTGAAAGGCAACTGATCTTTTAACACACCTTTCTATGGAAGAGGCATCATTACTTGCATTCAACTCGAATGTAGACAGGGCCCTTTATTCGCTTCGCAGATTTGGGAAACGATATGTTATCAGTGTCCCGAAGGCTTGATGATGTATATCCCCTCGCTGAACGCCATTGCAACTCGGCCCAAGTTCGTAGGCTTTAGACCAACTCAAACCAAAGAGCTTGATTCGGGCGATAAGTATTGGCGAGTTTACATAAGTTTTGGTCTGATTTGGATGACTGAAACGCTTAGAAATCTACATATGATGAAGAGAGTGAATCAAACCATTGCCTCTCTTTTTTGAGCCAATATTAGTAAAATAAACGCATTGATAGATATGGCACTCCAATCACGTGCTTGTCAGGGCGTCCTCTAACTGGCGACAATTTTTAGGTGTCGCCGGTTCAAAGGACGTTTTTGTTATCGCTGTTGTTGTTTCAAATCATTCTTTCTTACTGTTTTTTACGTCAAGGGGGACTTCGCAGAAATTTGCGAGCCATGAGAACTTTGTTTCAAAAAATCCTTCATACCAACGCATGCCGGAGCCTGGGTGCGAACGTGGAATTTACGGCGGCGAAGATGCGCGCCGCTTTCGCGACCGTTCATCTACCGCTTTTGTGCCTTCTTCCGGCAGTGGTCTTTAAGCTCACAGCAAAAACTTGTTACCACTGCTCCACACAGCTCCAGAACTTTCACAAACTCGTGACAAAAAATTTACCGCCGTCTTTGCTCCCACTCAAAAGTCATGCAATCATAAAATACTTATTATTTCAATGCTCAACTCAATCGCTTCAAAATTTTGAACATATCATGTGCAAGCAAATAAGGAAATGCCTTCACCAAGAACGCAAGCCAAAAGGGTGGCTGCTCAAATTGCATACGCAACCGTTATCACAATGTTAGGATTGATCCATTCGACGAAATCCGAAAAATTAGTGTTGCCCGAATTATATGATTTGTGATGAACCACCTTATCATAACGAGGAGCAGTCTTTGGCGTTTTAGGTGCGACGGTTCAAAAAATTCAGTGAACCAAATTTGTCGTTGTATCTTCCCTTTCATATCACTATGCTATCCTATCGTACTCTCTCTAGAAAGTTATTCTTCGACAGTTACTAGACTGGTGTGCCTTGCCTTACTACTTAGATCTATTTCTCGTTCTATTGTCATTATTGTGCTTTCAAGTATGTTTCTTTTGCTTGATATTTGCTTGACCTATATATTACTTTGTTACCTTTCTTCAATCGTAGTTTCAGTCTGTAATACGAAGTTGCTGTGTATTCTATTTTCAGAAGCTGAAATATCTTGCTTTACGAAATCAGAAGCCCCCAGCCTTGTTTATATAAGTCATGATAGGAGCTTTAAATTCTTGTATGGTCGAATTGCTATACACCTCACTATGCTATGGCAAAAATGAGCAGTTCATTGGGGGAGTTAGGAACTACGAGTTGAGGCTTTTTCCGGCTTTTCCATCAGTTGATAAGGTTCACACACTGATGTATCGCATAATAGATAACGCACCAGGCTGTTTGATTCTTGAGTTTTAGATGTAGGCTTTGCCGCTGTCTCATCAGTTTGGCGTGACGATAAAGCCAGAGCTTTCGTAAGTTCTAGGTTTGCTCATGTCAAGTCTTTAACACGTTCACGACAATAGGCCCCATTGATGGGTTGTAAGATTCTTGAAGCTATATCTTTGTCAGTCTAAAATGGAATTCTACGGGGTTCTCATATTTATTTATTTATTTAAATATGCACTCTACGCGCCATAAACAATCGGATTGACAAAGACATTCAATTGCTGATAATACACTATCACACTTCCATTCTCTGGACTAGCTCTTGTTGCAACCCCAACTGAATTCACTGAAAAGTAGCCAGAATGACAGATGCCGACTTTAACGGGTCGGATACAGATGATTGGCATTGGGGAATGCTGCTGCCCTAAGAGTAGTATGAGCTTCGAGGCGTCCAAGACTAGCCTGGTTCACGTTAGGTATCCACCAACCTAACAAACTGATCCCAGATACATCTGTACAGAAATTCAAGCGGAATAGACCGTTAAGACAACATTGCACTTGCATCATATAGAAAAGCAACTCATGAAGCGCAAAGGGAAGCGTGACAGGTCAATAGGAAATTTGTGAAAGCTAGTAACAAAAAAAACACCAAACAGTTAGTGGACAGCAATATCAACGATCATATTCCAAACGGCCAGTGCGACGAGCGGAAGAAAAGCTACCCACGATTTGAGAAAGAAAAAAGCAGAAAAGAGAGCAGTTAATAACTTTCTGATTCTTTGACTTGCAATAGCTCCATCTCATTTATTTTGCGTTGGAAAACGGCTACGCTCTGTCCTGATAAAATGGAAGGAGGCAAATTGTTAAACTATCTGGTTATTCTGTAAAAAAAGGTTGTTAAACATCAAAAGGAAACGTTTATTTTTGGTTCTTGGATAGTGAATGTTAAACCCACCCATCCTGCAAGTTGGTCTGAAAATCAAGTATCTGCTCGTATCTAGTTTAAATTCTTTACATAGAAGACGGAAGGCAAAAATGAGGTCAAGGTACATTCTTCTGCGCTCCAAGTTTCATTGCCAATGACTTGAGACGATCTTCATATATTGGCATTTCGGTAAAAGGAAACGTTCTATGACATTTCAAAAACAGAATGCGAGTAAATATTTGCTGAAGTTTCTTTTCTAGTTTTAAAACATTCTTTTTCAAAAAAAGACTCCAAATAACAGAACAGTACTCACGGTAAGGCAACACATACGCCGTTTAGAGCCGTTTAAGAATCAATGAGTTATCTGTACAAACTGATTGAAGTATGGCAGATAAGACTGAATAAGCCTTGTTTAAGGCTAATCACTATGTTTTGAGAATTTCAACTCAGAATCAACTAGAACACTCAAGTCCTTGGCAATGCAACTGCTCTTCAGAAGAATTCCGCTGATCTCATAATCAGCGTGCTCATCGTCACCAAAATGCAAAACAAAACATTTTTCCGAATTTAATGGGATATTAAAACTAGAAGCCCAGTATGCCGTCTGATCCAACGATCTCTTCATTGCAGACTGAACTTCATGCCGGTTATCTCTGTCGTAGATCTCGAGATCCCGTAAATTTGACATCTTCTGCGCACATCTGAATCGTAAAATCAGACGTTTTAAATAGACGGGACCTCAACGGTGTACAACAGGGAAAGCAGTGGAGAAAGTACTCCTCCTTGTGGAACGCCACTGCGGCAAACTTATCTATTTGATAAATGATGTCCTGCTTTAACTGCCATTCCTCTGTTGCTCATGTAAGATCCAAGCCAGCTCAAAAGATTACCTCTGAGACCAATTTGTTCTAGTTTGCATATAAGTTTATTACGATTGACTCTATCAAAAGCTTTTGAGAGATCTATGTAAACAACATCTATTGACATTCCTCTGTTCAAACGCTAAATTCCAGACAAAAATGGAATCCGCAAGATTAGTAGCGGTGAAAGACCCCGCCACGAATCTATGTTGGTTTGGAGGAATAGCATTATTGCCAAGCCGAAGTAACTTTTAAGTATTTTCTCCATTACTTTTACTGTGGTAGAAGCGAGACTTATGGGACGAAAGTTTGAGACACATTGAGCCTCAGATATCTTTGGAACTGCCGTGACCAACGCTTCTTTCCAAATTTGAGGGAACTTTCCTGAATCATCGATATGTTAAAAATGTGTGCCAGAGGGATGCAGAAGGATGAGGCGCATTTTTTGAATACAACTTGCGGAATACCATTATATGTTTCACTGAATGACGGCCTTAATTGGATCAATATTATATAGAAATCAGAAAAGTAAAGCACACTTTTGCTAGAAAGCTGCGGCGAGGAGGAGTGGACGTAAGAATTTGCTCATCAATAATCTGATCTGTCGAAGTGAACACGCTGCTGAAATGCTGGCTAGAGCGTTCGCTTTCTCACTATCTGTGATAAAAACTTGGCCGATTGATCAATCAAGTTTGGCAAATTTTGATTCGATTTGAGTTTTCCGTTAATATGTTAAAAAAGAATTTCGATGAGGCTCTAGCAGCTAATCTTTGCTCATAGTTAGCCAGAAATTTTCTCAATTGAAAGTCAGTACCTTGGCACACTTTTCTATACACAATGTCGGAAAGTGGATCAGACAAAGACAAAAATAGGCGTTCTTTCTGATTCTCCCCTTCATATATGATTGTGGACGCCTAGGCGAAGTTCCAGTAAGAGTGGTCAGGGATCGGGAGAGTGTAATGTAATGTTACGGTAGGAATACGGTAGATACAGATAAAGCACAAACAACTTGAATTCTTCGCAGAATGATTCTGTTCCTGAAAGTTCAAGTGTACATGCACGGTCGAGGCTGGCAAAAGTATGTTGCTAACCCATCAAAATTTCTCAAACTGATTTATTGATTTGTTGCATTGTTAATCCCGGGAAGCTCAAATCTTACATATAACAGGGTGTCCTAAAAGTAAGTACACACTTCAATCGTCAAAATCTCTCTTCCCAATGGGTCTTTTTATGCCAGTCAGGGACCATTTTGTAGAGGATGCTTCAACTTAGATTTCCAGCATCGATCGAGTCACCTATCGCTCTTTGTTGCTGTAGGATTACGGTAAGAACTTCCAGCATGTGGGACCATTGTGAACAATGCCATTCGACAAAATTTTTATCAAAAAATCTGACAAATCTTGTACTAAACTTTTCGCGCACGCTGATTTCACTACATAACTTTTTGCGAGAGTTTCTAGCTTTCTTGACGGTGAAATCACATTTCTGACAAATACTGGGAATTCGGTTATTACGGTTTACTTGGCATAATTTTGGAAAGAAACATTACAGTAAAGTGGAAATTTCATATTCGACATCAGAAGCTCCCATTACCATAGTATAAGAGTTTTTGGCTTGTTTGGTTTTGTTACGAGGGAGATTTTGGCTTCCAATGGCCTAAAATCCTTGTCGAAGTTCCTACATTGATCTTACAGTAATGAAGAGCGATCGCTGATTCGTTCAATACTGTGAATCTAAGTTGAAGCCTCTTCTACAGAACGGTACTTAGGCGGCGAAAAAAGGCACAACAGGAAGAGAGATGTTAACGATTGAAAAGTGTGTACTTACTTTTGGGACACCCTGTATTAGGTGGGTCCGAAAGTTCGTGCCGTTTCTTGGACCTGTTTTAAAATCATTCAAAACGTAGATAGACAAGTCGTTCTAACTGTATCCGATGCAGAATTTCTTGCTCTTTCCAACACCTACGTTTATGTCGTGACCATATCAACGAGCGCTGTGATAATTGCCAAAAACTAGAACCCTTCATTTTTACCATTCGCTAGTTTTCAGAATTTTCATTCTAGACTTTTGATGGTGCTCTAATAACCACCTGATAAGGCCAACCTTTCTCAAACTAATGCAATTTTTTGCATTTTTTCAGCTTTCTCTCTAGAAATTTGCTGAATTAATTATTTTACTAAAGCACTGAATTTTGAAAAAAAAAACGCCTAACACATAATTGCACCAAACACTACGAAATCCTCAGAATCTTTAAGTTTTACTAGATTATTGTTATTTCTATTTTTATAAAGTAAATGAGCGATTATCGCTCAAAGATGCGTCCATTTTCGAAATTTCGACTATAACCTTGCGCACCACTGAAATTGAAAAGTACAGCGATTTTGTTTGCAAAAGTCGCATGTTTTGCGAACAAAAGGTAGCTATTAGAAAGAGGAGAAAAAATGCAAAATGGTACTCAATCTGTTCAACGTCTGATGTTTTGCGAAGTTAAAATGAGCCAAATATAAAATTTGGTCATTTCAGAAAATGTATTCTAGTAATTCTAAAAGGCATGCCAAAGAGATGCAAAAAATTGCATTGATTCGAAAAGGTTTGCCCTATTAGATGGTAATTAGAGCACCTTCAAAAGCCTAAAATGAAAATTCTAAAAATTAGCGAAAACTAGACATGGTAAAAATAAAGAGTTTTGTTTCCGGCAATTATCTCAGCTCTTGTTGATATGGTCACGACAAAAACATAGCTGTTGGAAAGAGGAAGAAATTTAAATGATTTGTCTATCATCACTCCGAACGATTTGAGAACAGGTGCAAAAAACGGCACGAACTTTCGGACCCAGCTAATATATCCTTCTATATATATAAAACCGAA